TGTTGGAAGCTGGTATTCTGGATACTTACCTGGGGAAATACTGGGCTATCAAACTGGCTACCAATGCTGCTGTCACTGTACTTAGAGTGGATCAGGTAGGAGAAAGGCAAATTCTGGTCTTTTTTTTAATATAATTTTCCATGTTTATATATTTTCATGAAACTGAGCATAGCATAGTTCTTACTCCCAGAGTTGTAAAGGTGTGGCCACTGATGCCTGTCCATTACAATTATAGGCTTAGTTTATTTCTGGCTGGCCTTTAAAATGAAAGTCCTCCGATAAAGGCTTTTAATGTTTGAAATCTGATCTTGTTCTATAACTTTAAAACTTTTTAGCCTTACAATCCTTGGATAATCAAAAGGAAGTTTAACATGTAATAGTAAATAATAATTATAGTAATAGTAAAATGTTAGAATCATAAAGGCCTAGAATAGACATTGACTAGAACAGCTGTTATCAACTTGGGGGTCAAACAACCCTTTCACAGGGATCACCGATTCATAACAGTAGCAAAATTAGTGATGATGTAGCAAAAAAATAATTTTATGGTTGGCAGTCACCACAACATGAGGAACTGTATTCAAGGGTCGCAGCATTAGGAAGTTGAGAACGACTGGACTAGAGGAAGCCATAGCCTGTAATTAGCTCTCTGTGGAGCAGGCTTTGATTTTTTTTATTTCAGGTTATATAAGTATGGATATTCAAGTCATAGCATTTCCAATTGTGACAAGGGGATGACTAGACTGTCTTGTCATGATATAGTGGTGAACCAAATTCATATTTATTTTTTTAAAGTGTTTTATTGTGAACTTAATATAAGGTTTCATTACTCTGCAAAGCTCTCCAAGTAACTTTTAAACTTAATTTTTTGGTAAATATTAAAAAGTGCCACTGCTGGTAGCATGGTATAAATTTATTGAACAAAAATTATGCCGGGTTAATCTTGAGAAGCAAGTCCTAGGTGGAAATTATTGGGAAGAATATTGGATTAAAATTCTAAACATAGAGAACATTAGTAATATTGACAGGAAAGCAGTTTTTAGCTCAGGATAAGAATTTATTCACTAGAGACTATTAAAAAGGACCTGGAATCAAGCTCCTACTTTGGAAATATGATCAAGCTGGATGCACATAAACACTTAGGAAAGTTTCCCGATTGCCATTTGGCATAGGAGTAAGAATAACCTTGTAGTTGTAGAGTTTGGTTATGTTACTACTTCGTAACTTTTTCTAGGCTTTTTAAGAAAATACATGTTAATCATAAGAAGTAGGTAGAAGGACCCAAAATAGGAGGAAGCAAGAAGAAGCCATTTAAAATTTTAGGCAAGCTGAAATCTGATAGGAAGTTCCTTAACAGGGAAACATTTTGAATAGTTAATTGGCAGAGGCAGATCAGCACTTGATAAAAGGGATACGTTGTAGTCTTTGCATGCAGTGTGTAAAATAAGTATCTGAAGAAAGCATCTGTAAACCATGTTACTTTAATTATATTTATAATCTGTTGTACCTAATTTTAGGCTGTAGATATATTCTGGAAAGACTACTGCAAACCAAACTTATACATTGAGTAGTGTTAAAGGGACTGGGTTTCCCTCTCTGTAAGTAGCTATTTCACTGGATGTCAACTCAGACCTTAGAACTTGTTAAAAAGTCTCACTGAATCATAAACTCTGTAGGGAGACCTAGCAGTCAGTTTTAATGAAGTAAATATGTCCACTATTAGCTTTAACTGTTTATTTTCTTAAGACAAGATATATTTTTGTATTAACATTATACTTTTGCTTTAACTCCATTGAACTTACAGTACAATGACATTCCAACAATTTCATTATAGTAACTTCTAAAGTATGAAATATTGAAGGTGCTAGTGGGTTTGTATTCCTTGAAGCACAAGCCAGGTCTAGATATCTTAACCCTAAATTAAGCATCTTGAGTGGGAAAGCATATCCCATCCAGCCTACAACCCTGATCTTGCCCCTTTTGACTTTTTGTTGCCAAAACTTAACAAAAGAGGAGCACAATTTGAGTCCCTTTTGGGTGCCAAAACTGCCATTTTGACATGTTGTAAGTACAGAATTCATAAAGAAAGGGTTCCTGCAAACATTGCCTTCAAAAGTGTGTAGACCTGCATGCCAAGAAACATTAGCTTCACATTTTGCTGTTTTAAGTAAATGGTATCACTACTCTCATTATTGGTCCTGAGGAGTTTATCTGTCCTGGGTTCCCTGTTTCCAGCTCTGACCCATGTACATGCTCTAGTCTAGCCGGATTTACAAGATTCTACCAAAGCTACCACAACTTTAAAAACTTTAAAGAGACCCAATATACCAGATGATTGTGGTTGGGAAATGCTGGGTTAGCACATTTTAAATAAACCAAGTTATCAAAGAACTGGAAGTTTGTCGACTTTGACTTATGGATACTTCCTGCCATTTGAATTGTTCTCACTTGTAGATAATGGGAGTTTTCCGTGTGAATGTAAAAAAATTTTTTTAATCAACTGCTTTATAGATTATAATGGCAAAACTGGCAGGTGGCCCTAATGCTCCTCAGCCACAAGGAAAATGGGATAAAGATGATTGGCAAGATGAGCCTCATCTATAAATAGCAAATCAGGTGCCATACTTTTCCAGAAGTGATGCGAGTGCATGATTTTTCATTCAATTTATCGCCTACTGAAGTGCATGCCTCTCACTAATGTGTGTGGATTTTGTTGTAGCTATTATCCAGGAAAGTTGACACTTCTCCTAGTTGTTCCATTTCTAACAAGGAGGCTAAGAAACATTATGCTAGTGTTGCATATGCATGTAAGATTGCTAAACAAAAAAATTGTGTGGTCTTTTCTGACAAGACCGGGTACATTCAGGGTTGTTGGCCATAGACCCACCGGTGTGATCTCTTCTATAACCATTCTTTTGTGTTTGTTCTGCAGATCATCATGGCAAAACCAGCTGGTGGGCCCAAGCCGCCAAGTGGAAAGAAAGACTGGGATGAAGACCAAAATGATTGAATAGCTTAATTTTACTGTTAAATTTGAGTAGTTTAGGAATTACCCTCTGTCCTTATTCTCCTTAAGTTAAGTGCTTTGTGCTTATATCCAGCTGGATGATATAATAAATATGTTGTTCTTATCAAAGCACTGTTGTCTGAAGGGTCTAAATGAGTCTATCACAGGGTTTTCACATAGGTGTTCAGCTATTTCTATCCTTTTACAGACAAAATTTGCTGCCCTTCCCCCAAGTGGATTTCCAGAGGTTTTCTCTATACTGTTTGCATAGTCCAGGCATGGTTTGGGAGTAACGGGATGGTAACAAAGAGATATTATATTTCTGGACATAAAAAATTAAGCAGAGCCGTTTCATAAAGTAGAGCCCAGGTTTCCCTTAAGGCTTATTGAAAAGGCAAAGATAATTCAAATCAGTTCAGTTATATTCTTTAAAGAGTTAACTACAGATACTGGCTATATAAAGGAGTCTTCAAATATTGTTTGAAATCCTTTTTTATATTATGGGGTGCATGTGGGTGACTGGGTCTTGAGGTAACTCAAGGTTTGGGGTGATACTTAACTCAGGACTGTCCTATCAAAAAGGTTTAATTAGGATAAAATAACAAGGAAATCCTAATAACAGAAGCTATAAGTTTGGACCTGGTATCTTCAAGGGTCCTTAAATTATATGCAGCTGAAACACTGGGTAATTTGGATAAAAAGGAATTTATTGTTAGGCAGTACGTGGGCTTGTCCATCATGTTAGTATTAAGGGGAACCCTGGTCCCCAGGTGCAGGCACAAGGGAGAGGCCAACTGAGCTTACATCAGGATTTTCTGCCCTTGCTCAGTGTCATTACACACACTGCAAGGAATCAAAAAACAAGCTAGTGACCTGACTGCCAATTACATAATACCTACCAGTATCAGGTATCAATCACTCACACTGAATTTCATTAGCTGCTTCAGAACATCTAACACCTGGTAGGAGATAACAATACATCCTAAAATCTTCAAGTAATAAAACAACATTTCTGGAGTAAGTCAGTTTATTGTGTTCTGCCCCACCATCCCCACATTAAACACAAGTGGACTTTAGTAATTCAGAATTTCCAAAAATGAAACTGGTAAAAACCACTCACCGATATAAAACCATTGTAAATTTTTAGATTTCTTTCTGTATATCAATAAACATGATTTCTTCTGCCATGTAGTTCTAAGTACATTAATTTACAGTTAGTCTTTTTATTAGCAGCCATTATAAAAACCATAAATGTGTTTCTGGAGAAAGAATTTGAGGTTGTTACAGTATTCGCTCATAAAATAGAAGGTACGCTTGTGAGTTTAGTACTTTGGTTGTAGGCACAGCTTGCACGTGTGTGTCGCTGATGTGAAACCACTGACCTTTAGTTGACTCCATTTCAAAATCTGTCAAAAACAGGAAATTAAATGCAAATGGGATCACATCCATTATTTTTGGTTTTGTCATTTACTGTTCGTTTTTCCCAGGCATCTTACCTTGTGGAATGTCACCGTGGAGTACGAGATTGCAGAGATGATGATTTGCAGTTCTGGCCTTGGCGTAGGCAGTGTAATGTCCAGACCTCATCGTGCCACTGTGTTCAACGACTCCATATAAGGAATACAGTACTCTTGTGTTTTCTTCAGCCACATTCTTTTAAAAATGAACAGAATTCAAAAGACTTGGTTCTAGCCTCAGTTATACAGATGATGTTGCAAACAATTTTAAACCAGTAATACAAAAATAATTTGAGTCTCTGAACTTAGCCATTTCCCCCCCTCTTCTCAACCTACTCAGTTTTTATTAGAAGTTTTATTGGAAGTTACTACTACAATGGCACTGTTATAAAAACCATAAACCTAATTCCTATTTCCTGCTATGGGTGCTGAATAACTGAAATTACCAGAGTTCCTTCAACAACACTGAGATAATAACTGACAGGCAGGTTGTACTAAAAAGCTTCAAATGCTCCCTAGAAAGCTGGTGGGCAGCATACTCGTGCCTCTCAAGTACCCTTTCCCTTAGAGACACCAAAAGGATGTAAGACTAATGTTTCAAACAAGGTGGTTACGTGCTGTTGAGTGGTTCTGACTCAGCAACCCTATGTACTACAGGACCAAACTACCCCTTCTAAGCCATCCTTACAATTGTTACGTTCAGGCCCGTCATTGCACCCACTGTGTCAACAACCCTATCGATGACGGCCTCCACTGGCCCTCTACCAAGCATGTTCTTTGACATGAACTGGTCTCTGGTGGTAACGTGTCCAAAATATGAAAATTCTCACAGTAACATCCTTGCTTTTAAGAAAAAGAAAAGTTTTAATACGTTTAAAGAGGTCTTGTGGAATAGATTTATCCAAAGTAATGTGCCATTTGCTCTCAATTGCTTTTTCCACGAGCATTAATTGTGGATCCAAGCAAGATGAAATCCTTGACAACTTCAATCTTTTCTCCATTTATCATGTTACCTACTGATCCAGTTGTGAGGATTTTGGTTTTCTTTACATTGAGTTTTAATCCATATTGAAGGCTGTGATCCTTGATCTTCATCAGAAAGTGTTTCAAATCTTCACTTTCTGCAAACGAGGTTGTTTCTGCATACCTCAGGTGTTATTAATAAGCCTTCCTCCAATCTTGATGCCGTGTTCATATAATCCAGCTTTCCTGATTAATTGCTCAGGATACAGATTAAGTATGGTAAGATAATGCAACCCTGAAGCACACCTGTCCTGATATTAAATCATGCAGTATTCCCTTTTTCTATCTGTACAAATTCCCTTTGATCCATGTACAGGTTCCACATGAACACAATGAAGTGTTGTGGAGTTCCCATTATTCTCAAGGCTATCCATAGTTTGTTAGAATCTAGTCGCATGTCTTGTCATAGTCAATAAATCACAAACATCTTTGATATTCTCTGCTTTCAGCCAAGATCCACCTGACTTCTAAAAAGGTATCCCTTGTGTTACTACTCTTCTGACTCAAGCCCGAACCCACCGCAGCTCCGTCAATTACTGCTACAATCGTTGGATGATCTTCAGCAAAACTTTGTGCATGTGATTATCAATGATACTGTTCTAAAATCAGAGCATTGTTTGGAATGGGTATAAATATGGATTTCTTCCAGTCAGTTGGCCAGCTGTCTTTCAAATTTCTTAGCACAGACATCTGAGTTCTTCCAGTGCTTCACTAACTTGTTCAAACATTTTAATTGGTATTCCATCAAGTCCCAGAGCCTTGTGTTTGATTAATGCTTTCATTGCGGCTTGGACTTGTTCTATCAGTACCATTGGTTCCTAATCACATGCTACCTCTTAAATGGTTGAATGTGTTTGGTACAGTGACTCTTTTCAGTGTGTTCTTTCCATCTTCTTTTGCTTCCTGCATGGTTCCATATTTTGCCCATAGTGCAGTGGTTCTCAACCTTCCTAATGCCACGACCCTTGAACACAATTCATGTTGTGGTGCTCCCCCCCACAACCATAAAATTATTTTTGTTGCTACTTCGTAACTGTAATTTTGCTGTTAAGAATCGGGCGACCCCAAGTGAAAGGGTCTTTCGACACAAAAGGGTCACGACCCACAGGTTGAGAACCACTGCCATAGTCTTTAGCATTGCAACTTGAGGCTTAAATTTTTCTTCAATTCTTTCCAAGTAAGATACGCTGAGCATGTTCTTTTTGGTTTTGTAACTCTAGGTCTTTGCATGGTTCATTAAAATACTTTTTTCCCTCAAGCTGCCCTTTGAAATGTTCTGTTCAGCTCTTAATTCATCATTTTTCCATCTGCCTTAACTACCTGACAATGACGAACAAGTTTCAGAGTCTATTCTGACATTACCTTTGATTTTTTTTTTCTTCTTTCCTGGCTTTTTAATGATCTGTTGCCTTGTTCATTCATAAGGTTCTTGGTGTCATCTCACAGCTCTGTCATTAGTATTCAATGCTTCAAATCTGGTCTTCAGATGTTCTTGAAATTTAGATGGGATATATTCAAGGTCGTACTCAGGCTCTCAGATTCAACTTGAACTCTATGAGCAATTGCTGGTCTGTTCTGGTCAGCCCCTAGTCTAGTTTTAGCTGTTATTTGTAGTCAATTTAATGTGTATATTCCACCTCTAGATGTCTATGTATAGTTCTCCTTCTATGTTGTTGAAAAAGGTATTTGCGATGAAGTCATCATTGGTCTTGCAAAATTCTATCATGTGATCTCCAGCTTAATTTCTACTATGACTATATTTTCCAACTACTACTGCTCCTTCCGTTTCCAACTTCTGCATTCCAATCACCAATTATCAATGCATCTTGACTGCAGGTTTGATCAATTTCGGACTGCAGACTCTGCTAAGAGTTCAATTTACATCACTAGCTTTAGTAGTTGGTGCATACATTGGAATAACAGTTATATTGACTGGATTTCCTTGTATTCAGACATAGTATCCCATCACAGACAGCATTGGACTCTAGATGCAGAAATATCCTTTTTGAAGATGAATGCAACACCATTCCTCTTGAATAAACAATTCCCAGGCAGAGTAAACCATTTGAGTGCCTGTGGGAAACCAAGGACCAAGAAAAGCGTGTATGCGGACAAATTCTATATGCTCATAAATAAGCCTGGAAGGTCAGGATTCTGGTGGAAGGAGGCCTTCTCATTTTTGAGTTGGAGATAAGTCCCTGTCATATTCTCCTGTCTAAAAATCATACCCATTATGTTCTCCCATAATATTGCTACCTTAATGATACCTCTTATATGGCTGATTACTATATGACCAGAGGCCTATATCTATAAAAGCAGACATGTTTCTTTTGTTCTCCCTGCTTAAGGAGCAGTTGATTCCCCTATGCCTGTCCCCAATGCTAGTATTAGGTCTCTCCCACGAGGGTTAAGATACTGATCACCTTGTTGCGTATATCATTGGTGAGGTCGTCCTGAGACGATATAAACACACTGTTAAATACATTTGCTCGCTCTCTCTTGTTCTTGACTCTATGGAAAGGGTGAGCCTTTACATGCCTTATCTGTTGTCTATTTTCCCTTTCAATTGCACAACCGCTCCTTCGGACCCATTCAGTTGTGGACTGGCCCAACTGCCTAAATCAAATTGGCCAGTACCAGGCCAGTTAATCCCAGTATGGCCTAGGAGATAGCCCCCTCAGGGCCTACTTTAGGGCTTACGTGTGTCTGCCAGGGTCCTGCTTGTGACCACAGCCGCTCTCTCTTATCTCTTACACTCTTCCCCCAGTGCTCTCTCTGGCCTCAGCTCCCCACGTGTTTGAGTGTGCTGTTCCACAAAGTTGCTTGTGACCAGTTGTGAGCCCTAGCAAGGCTTCCACGAGGCTTGGCACAATTCCCTGAGATCGCGTGTACCCTTTTCAGACTGTAAAACCTGAAACTTCTCCAGGCCTTCATAAAAACTCACTTGGATTACCAACAGGTTTGGGTGTGAATTCTTTCTCGTGCGAAGCCAAGAACCAAGGTATTACCCACTTGTGAACCCTTATAGTTACATGTTGGCCTGTGATCTGCAAAGTTAGCAGTTCAAAACCACCAGCACCTCCGCAGAAGACAGGCTTTCTACTCCTGCAACAGTTACAGTCTCAGAAACCCACAAGGGCAGTTCTATCCTGTCCTTCAGGGTCACTGTGAGTCATTACTGACTCACTAGCAGAGTTTCCAACCTGCAGAGTTCATCTTCTGGCACTCTTATCTGACAATGCTGTTACTATTCATGAGGTTTTCAGTATCTGACAATGTTTCAATGCATCAGGGTTTTAGTGGATAATTCCATGGAGATGGACAACAGCCTATACCTTCTTCATAGTCTGCTCTTATACTAGAAGTTCTGCTGCAACCTGTTCACTTTGAGTGACCCTGCTGACATTCAAATACCAGTGACTAGCTTCCAGCATCACAGCAAGCCACCATAGTACAACAGGCCATAGGGCTGAGAAAAGGACATGCATTCTTCAAGTCCTCCAGAGCCGCTTCCAGACAACTACATCTATATGCTCTTGTAGGAAGCCCTCCTGAATAGGATTCGTGACCCTTCACTTGTACTATCCCTAAAATAAAAATCCGAACTCACTGTCATTGAGTTGATTCCAACTCAACAATTCTCTTTTGTTCAATGATATTTTACTTCCTAAAAGGCATGAGATGTTAAATACATTACCCTTTCCTTTTCCACTTTAAGTCTCCTCAGCCATCCATTACATATTCTAGGTTGACAAGCTATCCTGTGGTGACTGCTCTAGAAATGGTTCTAGCCCATTCGTAGGCACAGGAGTACTGAATGTGACCTCATTTGTTGGTAACTGTCCCTTAAATACTGGCCTTTAACTGCCAATTACAAAGCATCTGGAAATATTTACTCCACATCTTACTACTTAGCTATTATTAAGAAAGAGAAAAATAGGTGATTGTAGCAATTCTCAACACAGAATTGCCTCTGTGGGATTTCCAAGAATGGAAATCTCTAGGGCACTAGACAGCTGCCTTTTTCTACTGTGGAGTCGCTGGTGGCTTCAAACTGCTGACCTTGCAGCCCAACTTGTAACTCACTATGCTACCAGGGCCCGTCTGTATTGTCCCTATGCATCTAAATTCAATTGACCCGATATTTCCCCATCCTGTCTTGTCAGCTTCTTCATGGATTTCAGTGCCATATGGACGAATCTCTGGTGGTTTAGCAACCATCCAACTTTAACTACCCACAACCAGGACTATATTCTGGATCTGATCACTACTCAGAACTCTGTTCCTAATTGTCTAATCTCAGTCCATAAACCTTCCAAATCTCAACTCACTTATTCTGTATCTTTCACTCCAGAAAGATACAATCCTCATTTTCTCCTATAAAGTCTCCTCTGATCTCTTACATGAAACCTCGACCTCAACATGTAGTCCTTGGACCAGCAGCATCAGCATCTGCTGAGAGCTTCCTAAAATACAGATTCTCAGGCCTATTAAACCAGGCTATTTTTTCCCCAAAGCTAAGTATTTACATTTTTAAAAAAATCATTTTATTGGGGGCTCGTACAACTCTTATTACAATCCATACATCCGTCCATTGTGTCAAACACATTTGTACATTTGTTGCCATCATCATTCTCCAAACATTTGCTTTCGACTTGAGCCCTTGGTATCAGCTCATTTTTCCCCTCCCTCCCCACACCCCCTTTCCCCATGAACCCTTGATAATTTATCAATTATTATTTTTGTCATATCTTACACGTCTCCCTTCACCCAATTCTCCACTGTCGGTCCCCCAGGGAGGAATATGTAGATCCTTTTAATCTGTTCCCCCTTTATCCCTCACCTTCCCTCCACCCTCCCAAACCAGGCTATTTAACAAGATTCCCAGGTAATTCATGCCGACATTAAAGTATGAGAAATTAGATCAAATGTATCATTTTTAGAAATAACCTCTAATACCCAACACCAAACTTGCCACAATACCCAGTTCAACATAAAAATCACAATTTGAGTCTGACCTCATACTCAGCTGCTACTGCTAAGGAACAAAATTACATAACCATGGAGAGTGGTACATTTATGATCTTTCACCTCTCAGGATTCTCAGCTATACCCTCTTGTCCTTCATAACAACGGGCCCAGACTTTCCGCGCTCTTCCAGATCTAGTTGTAAAGGAGCTAATGTCACCTGAAGGTGACCCCATGTGTCAGAGTAAAACTGGGCTTCATAGTTTTCAAGGACAGACTTTTCAGAAGTAGAAGTAGATTTCTGAGCCCTTGTTCTAAAGCATCTGTGGATGGGCGCAAATCTTTCAATTGGCATCCGTACCACCATTCTAACACCCTGCTCCCCGCCTACTTCAGGAACATCGAGACACAACCTACCCAACTACAATCTGCTTGCTGCTTGTTCTCCCTCTAAAAAAAAAAAAATTAACTGATTAATCCTGCACTTTTAACTTTTGGGCCAAACGTCAATATAAATTACATATGTTACCTCTAATATTCTGATCCATTTCTCAACCCACTGAAATTCTCAGCACCATTCTTGCAAATTTACCACAACTTTCACATTGTATAGTCCGTGAACATTGCCTTGTCCCCATCTCTGGCATTCTGACACTGGGGCCACGTACTCCATTCTTGAAACTTGAGCACAGGCCAATGGCATTATATGGAGAAGATAAAATTCTGGTGATTTTGCATTTTAAACAAACCCAATCGAATGTTTATTTGGGAAACAAACTTCTGTTTCCCACCTAAAGTTATCCTATGATAACAAATATAATTAAAATACACTTTACCTACCAGCTATGAATTCCTATGATGTCAAATTTCATACTTTATTAATGTTTATAGTAGTGTTTGAAATCTGTACAAAGTAAAAATAAACTATAGCTACTCATATGCCTTGCTATTTCTCCAAACTCAACTGATTTTCTCTCCCTCTCACACCTTGTTCTGAATGAACCCCTATCCTGTTATCATCTATGTATTGTTCGTTATCGATCACAGCCCTAACATATCTGTTCTTCAGATATGTGCACTAAAACATTTTCTAGACATAAATAACCATACGGATAGCTCAAAAATATCTGAAGTTCAATGTATCCACAGTGAAACACATTATCCTTTATCTACCTCCATCCTTGTCTATAGTGAAGTATCCTTTTATCTACCTCCCAACCTGCTCTTATCCCTTGTCTTCGATCTCATCTGTAGAGTCGCTCAAGTCAGGCTCCAGGGGTCTTCTTGCTGTGTCACCCTCAGCATCCACCTAGATGTCTCTGCCTCACCGACCAGAGCCAATCAATCAGAAGTGTGGGAGTCTGACCCCCTTGACTCTCCTTTTCCACCCCTCTTCTGACTGCCTCAAGTTAAACCCTCATCATCTGTGGGCTGAACTCAACATGTGGACTCCAAACTAGTATCCCTGTCTCGTCTTCCTAAAACCAATGGATTTTCAACACAGCAAATTCATATGGCAGTAAAACTGCCCCCACAGAATTTTCTACACTGTACTCTTTACAGGAGCCAATTAACAGTTTGTGCTGCAGAGTGGATTCAAAGCACTGACCTTTTAGATTAACAGCAAACACTTAACAGCAGCACTGAGCTGGATCCTGCACCTGTTTCAATAACCTCTGGTTCTCTGGGCTTTATCCAAAAGTCCACCATATTGCCTTTCAACAATGGGAGCCATCGGAGCTTTCCATCTGACCTGCTAATCTTGAATTCATCCGTCTCTGCACCCACCAGCAATAGTCTTCCTGTTTTGTTTTTTCCCTGGTTCCTACTTCATCAGTTCTGGGAGCTACATGAGTTAGGAAAAGCCTCTAGTTTAGCATATGACCCACGGATTTGCTTTTCTTTTGTTATGAACTTGTTTGTAACTAAAGACTCCAAGTCCATTTCAATTTTACTTTTCCTCTTTCTAAGCCAATTAAACCACTATTTAGGTTTGAGGAATAAAGACTCTGAATGGGATTTTTTTTTTTTTAAGCAACATACTATTCATATTTACACAGCTCATCTCAAGAAATGAAATCAACAATATCCTACTAAACCCTCTCTATAAATGGGGTTTTCATCCTCCCCCATCCCTTCTCTCTCCCTGTTCCCGCCCTGTCCCTCTTCTCCTCCCAGTCATCAATGTTTTGTCTATTTCTTGCATAAACCATGTTTCTTCTCGTTTTTCCTTATAATAACAGTGATACTAAATATCTGACTTTGTAAAATGAACTGAAGTTTATTAAGCATAATGCTCTCTAGTTTTGTCCTTGTCTTGTGGCATTTCAGAGTGTGGTCATTGTTCTTTATTGATACATAAAATTCCATATGGATATACCAGGGCTGCTTTATCCCTTCACCTATAGTTGGGGCTTCTGGTTGTTTCCATGTTTTTGCTATTAAGGAAATTGCTGCAATAAACATAAGTATGCATAGTCTACTCATTGTTTTCTTTATTTCTTTAGGGAATACACTCAGAGATAACTGGTACATAAAAGACTTGTATTTGCATTTGTTTCATGAAGTGCCTTACTGATTTCCATAGTAGTTATCTAATTCTACAGTCCCATCAGCAATGTAAAAGCATACCTAACTTTCCACATCCTCTCCAGAATTTGTTATTTTATTTTACTGAATTTTGCCCAAACTGTCAGGGTAAGATATCTCACTGTTGTTTTAATTTGTACTTCTCTTATTGCTAATGATCTTGAACATTTCATCATGTGGTTGTTGGCTGCATGGATGGCATCCTTGGTAAATTGTCTATTCATGTCTTGTGTGCATTGATTGACTGGGTTATTTGTATTTTTCTTGTTAAAATGTTATAGTTTTCTACAGATTTTGGAGATCGGCTCTTTATCTAATATATTATTACTGGATATTGTTTCCCCATCTGTGGGTCCTGTTGATTTTTTGGATGAAGTCTTTCGCACTGAAATAACCAATAGCCTAATACTCAAAATCACTCATCAAAGAACCTTGTTGTTATGAAGATACAAAGACCAACAGGCCCACTCTACTCATTAATTTTCATCAAGTTCCTATTCATGTAAACTATTAATGACATATTTACTAAGCTTTTGTCTTTAAGTAGCTTTTTTTTAAAAGGATTTTCCAAATAAAGACCACTTTCACCTACCTTACATTTAAGAGTACAAAAAGGTGCCAAATCTAAGATTTCTGGAAATTTTATGTGTCTGTTAACTTTGCGTAGGTTAAAACCAGCCTAGAAAACAAAACAGGGTGGGGGAGAAGGGGAAGCAGATTGAGTGCTGAAAAAGTTGTACAGGGTAAGTAAACAAAGTACATAGTCCTTCTCTTTTGCCATAAAGAATGCCAACATTCAACCGACTTCAATCTTCTTAGGAGGTTCTTCATGCAAAACACTTGCTCTGGCTAAGTGCATGCATGAACACACCCTCCTAAGGAACCAGCTTCGGCCATCCAGCAAAGCTATCTACATGTTTTGAGTGATAAAACTCAACACTAAAAGAAAAATGTCCTGGGGCACAGCCAATCTGAACCTCACTCTCCACCTAGGTTTACTGTATTTTCCAAACAAACTCGAGTAATCAAGCCCATGCCAACTACAAGTAGGAGAACAGTCTAAAGAACCTGCTGTGGGTAGCTGTGGAATTTGGAATTGAAAAGCTGTACTGTTAACTTATGGCACAACATTTCCAGAAAATGTTTTCAAAATTATGAAATTGCAGTGTTTTTATCAAATGTCAGTAAAAACAATAACCTCACATAAAAGAGAAAAAGAAAAAAGAAAACATCACTAAGGTACCTATAAGAATAAGCGTTTAGGGGTCGCGGGGAGGAGATTAGCCAGTCAGGATGCGATGTAACAATGATGAGAAATACAACCTTCTTCTAGTTCCTAAAGGTTTCCTCCCCGCTCCCACTACCATGACTCGAATTCTATCTTGCAAGACTGGCTAGACCAGAGGAGGTACACTGGTACAGATAGGAACTGAAAATACAGGGAATCCAGGATGGATGAGCCCTATAGGACCAGTGGTGTGAGTGGCAAAACAGGGAGGGTAAAGGGAGAATGTGTAGGAAAGAGGGAACCGATTACATGGAACTGTGTGTGACCTCCTCCCTGGGGGACAGACAACCGAAAAGTGGGTGAAGGGAGAAGTCGGACAGGGCAAGATATGACAAAATACCCATTTATAAACTATCAAGGGCTCATGTGGGAGAGGGGAGCGGGGAGGGAGGGGAAAAATGAGGACCTAATGTCGGGGCTTTAAATGGAGAGAAAATGTTTTGAGAAATGATGTACAAATACGCTTTACACAATTGATGTGTGTATGGATTGGGATAACAGTTGTATGAGCCCCTAATAAAATGTTTAAAAAAAAAAAAAGAATAAGCGTTTATAGCTACAGCTAGGAAACTGGGTTGGTATGTTTGCTTGCTTTAAAATGAAATGATAACCTTACTAAAAAGTACATGATTTCTGGTAAAGCTGAGTAAGGACTATGCCTAAATTGTTCTTCCATCTTGGTCTGTTTCCACATCAAATACCTTTTTACTCATATATGTTGTTCACTTCCCTATACCTTTGTTATTAGCATTAAGAAATAACAGAAAAGCAACCGAGTAAACACTGACATGCTAAGGAATAACCCAGCAATACATACTACTGAGGACTGAATGTGTGCACCCCACCCCCACCAAAGTATGTACTGCAATCCTAACCTGCCTGTGGATGTAGCCTGTTGAGAACAGGACTTTCTTTGTTACATTAAGAAGTTATATCAAAACAAAAAAAAAGTTCTATCAAAACAGGTGTGTCCCAAAAGAGCAGATTAGACATAGCGGTAAGGATGTTGGAAGACAGATGAGGGTGACACATGAGGGGTCACCAAGAACCAAGGAATGCTTGGAGTGGCCATGAGGGAGCCACGTGGCTGACACCCTGGTTTGGGCTCTTAGGCAGTAACTTGTGGCACTCTGCGGTGTTTCTACTATGGCAGTCCTAGAAAAGTAAGGCACATATTTAAACAGGGTACCTGCTGAAACCGTTTTAAATGAAGAGTGAGAACAGGAGGAGCAAGAGAAATCAGCATCTGCTTTTTGGCATTGGTGTAAACACGCTTCCTTCCACCTGAGGAAAGAAAAACAATTTGGCGATAGAAAAATCATTTTAAACTTGGAAAAAGTGTTACGCCCCAGTGGCGTAGTGGTTACAAGTTTGGCCTGCAAGCCGCTGTCAGCAGTTCAAAACCACCAGCTGCTCCACAGGAGAAAGACAGGCTTTCTTCTCCAGTAAAGAGGTGTATGTTGTTGGAAACCCACAGGGGCAGTTCTATCCCGTCCCACTGAGTCTCTAGGAGTCAGAATTGACTCGATGGCACTGGGTTAGGTTTGGTTATAGTCACTCAGACCTCCAAATCAAGGGCGATCAAACTTTTCCTGCAAAGGGTCAGATAATAAAAAGGGGGGGGGGGGAATTTTCTACACATTTTTTATGAAATTCAAAACAAGAATAACTGAATATACTTTCTGTAACAGAGATTTACTAATGAGAAGCAACAGAATTCTTTTGGGGTGGGGAGATAGTATCTCACTTAACTGGGGTTCAAAGTTGTGCTCCCTATCATCAAATCAATTCAAAATGCTCATGTTGGGGGTCAGTCTTAAAGGCTTGAAGGTAAACAACAGCCATCTAGCTCAGAAGCAACAAAGCCCACATGGAAGAAGCACACCAGCCTGTGTGACCATGAGGTGTCGAAGGGATCAGGTGTCAGGCATCAAAAAACAAAAATCATATCATTGTAAATGAGGGGGAGTGCAGATTGGGGACCCAAAGCCCATCTGTAGGTAACTGGACATTCCCTTACAGAAAGCTTGCGGGGAGGAGAAGAGCCAGTCAGGGGGCAGTGTAATGATAAAACATACAACTTTCCTCTAATTCTTTAATGCTTCCTACCCCCCACTATTTTAGCCCAATTCCACCTTACAAATCCGGCTAGACCAGAGGATATACACTGGTACAGATAGGAACCGGAAACACAGGGAATCCAGGGTGGATGATCCCTTTAGGACCAGTGGTGAGAGTGGTAATACCCGGAGGGTGGAGGGAAGGTGGGGTAGAAAGAGGGAACTGATTATAAGGATTTGATTACAACCTCCTCCCTGGGGGACGGACAACAGGAAAGTGGGTGAAGGAAGACATCAGACAGTGTAAGGTATGACAAAATAATAATAATTTATAAATTATTAAGGGTTCATGAGGGAGCAGGGATACAGGGGTGAAAAATGAGCTGATACCAAGGGCTTAAGTGAAAGCAAATGTTTTGAGAATAAGGGCAACAAATGTACAAATGTGCATAACATACAATGGATGTATGGATTGTGATAAGAGTTGTACAAGCTCTAAAGTAAACAGAACTGTTTTAAAACATTTTCCTCTGATACTTACTGCTGTTTTCTCCCACCCCCACTATCCTCCCCTGCTGTACCCCTACCCACTTACTGTCTCCACAGATCTACCTAGACATTAGTGAACTGAAATGGACTAATATTGGCCTTTTTAAATCAGACTAACCAGTCGGGTGCAGTGTAGCAATGATGAAATATACAACTTTCCTCTAGTTCCTAAATGCTTCTTCTCCTCCCCCACCCTCCCACCAACTAGCATGATGCCAATTCTACCTTACAAATCTGACTAGATCAGAGGATGTACACTGGTACTGATAGGAACTGGAAATACAGGGACTCCAGGACAGATGATCCCTTCAGGACCAGTGGTGAGAGTGGCGATACCGGGAGGGTGGTGTAGAAAAGGCGAACCGATTATAAAGACCTACATATAACCTCCTCCCTGGGGGATGGACAAGAGAAAAGTGGGTAAAAGGAGATGTCAGACAGTGTAAGATATGACAAAATAATAATTTATAAATTATCAAGGGTTCATGAGGGAGGGGAAGCAAGGAGGGAGGGGGGGAAATGAGGAGCTGATGCCAGGGGCTTAAGTGGAGAGAAAATGTTTTGAGAATGATGAGGGTAACGAATGTACAAATATGCTTTATACAATTGATGTATGTATGGATTGTGATGAGTTGTATGAGCCCCCAATGACAATTCTAATTGAGTCCTAGGAATCTGTCCACAACCTAGTTCTATACCTGGAATCCCACTACCCTAAGTAAAAAAAAAATTTTTTAAAGGCGGTCGGGCTGGGGCGGGGGAGGTGATGAAAATATTTTTGTCTACATTTGAGGGTCATAAAAAAGCTCTGTATCTTCCTAAAACCTCATTTGGGCATGCCACAAGAATTCTAAATTAAATTTCCTGGAGCCCTGGTGGTGATGTCCAGAAAGTATTAGGACTGCTAAAACACAAGGTCGGCAGTTCAAACTCATCAGCCACTCCAAAAAGTAAAGATGAGGCTACCTTCTCCCATGACGATTTACAGCCTTGGAAATCTATCAGGTTTCTATGAGTCAGAATTAACTTGATGGCAGTGGGTTGGTCGTTGGATCCCTGGGTAGCAGGAAGATGAGGGCATCACAAATTGTAATAGAGAATTGCCAATTCTTTGAAAGAGAACCAAGAAAGATGCACTATCTGCCAGGATGCTGAGTGACGGCATTCCTTCCCCACAGGGACAGGGCTTGGAGAGCAAACAATTCTACTCTAACTGCTGCTGGAACGCTGACAAGTACTAGCCCTGTCAACAGACCTCTGCTTTGTCTATCCTTCTATTAGTGTATTTACACAGCAGCAGGAATTTAGCAATGCCACCCACATACTCACACAATAGGAACACTCCCGCAGTGCAAGTTGTACTCTGCATATGAGTTTGACATATAATAATATAATCCAAATACCTTTTATATTTGTCTTGGGGCCACCGCACTGTCTTCGTGAGCAGACTTCACAAAGTAGTTGGTTTGCATCACGAAGTTTCTCATTACGTGTAAACTGATACAAACAATGCTCGATTGACCACTCATTAGTACTGAGAGCTTCCCTGTTGGCAAGAGTACAGAAAGCAGTTTCTGGATCTTCATTTACAACCTCATAGACCTGTGTCCCGGGAATATGACTGTCATTCAGAAGCTCTATATTTATTTCCTCTGGCTCAAGAGCAGCATTCAAGTTAAGGTTTTTAAAACCACTGGAAATGTCCACTTCTCCGTCACTGTCTTCCTTCAGGCAGACACCATTTAAATCCTTAGTGCACTCAGCGGGGGGAGACGACAAGAGCTCCACATCATTACCCATGCTGACATTTCTCATATCTGCTTCCTCTGTGGATTGGTAATCAGTTCCTTTTTCTATCATTTTTTCTTGGTCATTCAAATCTTTTTGATTAACATTATTTTCGTTATTGGTAACATCCTCTGGTGAGATAAGGTTGGAGTGAACATCCATTTCCTCCTGAGGTGACCCTTCAGTATCACATTCATTATCTTCAGGATGGTCATTGGTACAAAAATCATTTAACAGTAAAGTTTTCCCTTGCAACTTCTGCTGTCTTCGTTGGTTCTGTGTAAAGAGTAAAACAAGAGTGTGTGAGCATGCATGCAAGCCTGTGGGACTCTTCAGGTTTTGCGGCTATCAGTCAAAAACAAATAACTGAATAAGGGAGAGTCTACTTTAAGGAATTTTATCTTAAAAGTTCTTTTATTATCTAGGTTCAAATAAATTATGGAAGAAAGTATAACTGAACAGAAAGCAAAATCACAATATCCCAGCCAGTGAAGATTGTCACATGGGAGCAGATGAACAGGGCTAGACATGATCCCTGCTCAAAGAGCAGCACACGAAAGGCTGAGGGCTAAGACTGGAAAATAAAGCCACCTAGGATTAAACCCTGGGTGTGTGACCACACACACTACAGCTAAGAGAGACATCAATGGGAGCTATGATTGCTGGGTAAAGGTTTTACTGAGAAGATAAAAAATGAAACTTCAAAGCTGTACAAGTACAGGAATGACTTGGACAGAAGCAAAAGTTAGGGAAAAGTTGCATGTACAGAGATTAAAGGATATGCCGCCCATAAAATTGCCTTCATTTGTTGTTAGATGCCGAAAGACCCAAAGCGGTAATACCATTTTTGGTTGCAACTAAAGGAGAGCATATGAAATACATCAAGAGAAATAATTCATTTACAGAGTAGCACATAAAAGTAAACACATCATAGAAAAAGAAACACAAATGGCTCTTAAACAGATAGATGCTTAACTTCAATTGTTAAAATATATGCAGAAAAAAGCTATTGAGATATTTTCCATGTTATCAGATTGGCAAAAACCCAGAAATGTGCTAACACACTAATTTCAACAATTAAAGTAAAAGAACGTATCATACATGTCAAGTAAGCATATAATTTGATACAACTCTTATGGTAAAACAAGTTGATAACAGCCGTCAAAATTGCACATGCAATCCCTCTTCTCAAAAGTTACACTACATCTGACAAATGAATAAGGTTATTTATTCCTGGTATAAGTGGCTATAATGGAGTAAGACTGGAAACTATAAATATCAATAAAGAAATGATTATATGATGAATTAGGATCTATGCCTATGCACAAGTGGTTTGCAATAAGCTGTTAATCTACAAGTTGGCAGTTCAAAGCCACCCAACAGCACTACATTAGAAGTCTGGTGATCTGCTTCCAAAAAGATTACAGCCAAGAAATTCCTAGGGAGCAGTTACACACTCTAATACATGCAGATACATGATTCAGAACTGACTAGATGGCAACAGGTTTGGGGACTTCATTGGTTTACAAAGTGGAAGATATCATAGCTGTTTTTAAAAGGCACTAAAGAAAGCTCTGTATTCTGATATGGAAGTATCTTCCAAATAGCTAGCTAAATTAAAACTAATAACCAAAATGACTAGTAAAAAAAGAGAGACAGAGATAGAGAGAGAGAAGGGGAGTAAGACTACTCATGCATTTGTTCAAATTTGTCAAATACAAAAGTCAGAAAAATACATAAAAGATTATAAAAGGCAGAAACAAGAGGATGATTTTTATTGTACAGCTTATTATATTTTTTTAACTTGTGAAAGTCAGCGGAATAGAAATTCAAAAAATTAAGTTAATACGTGAGCTAAAAAGTCTAGAAACAATTGTCATAAGTCATTGAAAACAACTCAATTTTTTCTTCACACACAAAGAGATTCCTCTGTACATATTACTTAGTAAACTAATGTGAAATTTCCAAATGAAAGTTCTGGGTATAATATGAAATAGCAGCATTCAAGGTCATTCAGACTACATAAATGAGGAAAAGTGAGGTTTTTCCTGCATAATTACCCACCTTGGCTTGCTTTTTAGCTTGCTTCTTGGCTTTTTTCTGTAAGTGTTTACTTGTTCCTGAAGAAATATAATTTCTCTCTTTTATGTAACTATCATTATCCTTTTCTTCCTCGCTATCTTTATCTTCATTCTCCATTGTCTTTTTCAGATTTTGATCATTTATACTCTTCTTGCCACTCTTAAAATATGAATAGAATATGAATCAAAAGTAAAACTTACAACTATACTGAATGAAAAATGATGCATGTTACTTATGTATTTTTCTACTCCTATTTTACATCATGAGTCAGAATTAACTTGACAGCAAAGGATTGGCTTGGATTTTGTCTGGCACTACACCGATTTTCAACAAAATCTGAAAATACGTCCAAGACAAAATTTATTCCACTCAGGTTAACGAAAAGCAATCTTCACATACTAAGAAAATAAATAAGCAAACAAAGAAAACAGTGAAAAAAGACAACTTCAAATTCACATGTAATAGAGTGAATTTTATTAGAAACATGCTTCTTGCTTCACACTCTACATATGAAGAGGCTTCAAAAAGTTTGTGGGGAAAACCCCATATATTTTAATCCCATTTTTTTCAATGAGGTTTTCTGAAGTCCCTTGGTATGTCCAGGAGCCATGGTGGCGTAGTGGTTATGAATTAGGCTGCTAACCTCAAGGTTAGCACTTCAAAACCACCAGCAACTCCACAGGAGAAAGATGAAGCTTTCCATACTCGTAAAGAGTTAGTCTCAGAAAGCCACCGAGTGACCTATAGGGTCACCAGGAGGCAAAACTGACTAGATGGCAGTGAGTTTGGTTTGGCTGGGTCTGTCCATTTGAAAATGTACTTGGATTTACATGTCTCCCTAAATCCTTTTTATTCTTTTTCTTTGCACATAAATGATAGTTTTAGAGAATGAGGAACCAAAGTAAGTTTGGTGAAACTTTACTGAATAAATCGTATGTTCTTTTTTTCTTCTATTACTCAAAATGAATCACATTAGCGTGGTTTAAAAATGAGATATTCTCTATTTAACATTTATGGACCTAGGACCATAATGAAGTTGCAGTTAAATTAATAATTACTTTTTAGAATGAAGAAGATATTTCCCTAATGTTAAGGCAATCAAGTACCTTATTTAAGGAATTCTAAACACACCAGCCTTTTTTAAAAGTATAAACTCTTATTCGCAAATCTTAAAAATGTTTCTATCTCAAGTAGATTTCTCCAAGGCCTAGTATAGTAACATATTTGGAAAAAGTGACAAGGACTTCCCATAAAATCTAACAAAATAAATACAAAACCAAAAAACTATTTAAATAAAATAAACTCAGTAGTCTTACCTGATCATCTAAAACTGGGAGAGACAAATCAAGGAAAGATTCATGAACCAAGGAGACCTTAACCAACCAAAAAAGAAAACGTGAAAGGAAGAAAAAGGTTCACTTTAGATATTATACACAAAGAGTATCCTATCCTGAGTTTTCAAATAAACAGATGCATAAGAAAATTAAATTTTAAAAATTATACAACATTGAAAATGCTTGGCCAGAGGAAATAAATCATCTTCTTCCAAATTTGAGAGTGCTAATATTCCCAACAGAGAATCATGTATATTTACATAGTTCAACAAAGAACATCATACATGTTAGTTTTTTTCTGTTTTGGGAAAAAAAAAAAAAGCTGATAAACTACATTCTACTAATTTTTATACACCAACCCAGGCACACCCACATATACTTACAGTTCTACATTCATCACACATGATTGTACTAGTCAGTTCACCACCAAAAATGCGGTCCACAAAGCTTGGTACTGATTTTTTCTTTTCATAATCTATATAAAGAAAAACATATGTTACTAATCATCCTTATATACGCTGTCAGGTAACCCTTGGACTACCAGGCCGGGGCGGGGAGCTGAGGCTAGCTGGTGCTGCAAACTGTACAGTCCCCTAAACCCTACAGAGGGTCGTTGCAAGTCAGAACCGACTCAACCGCAAGCTGGTTTCGCTAGTCAAGAATGTCAAATCGGGGGTAAGGGGGTACTGATAGCATGGATGTTTAGCTCCACTCGATGGGGTGGACAACAGATCTGTTTGGGAAAGGATATATTAGATAGTTTAAGATGTGTCAATAAAACTATTACCAAAAAAGGAAAAAGTTTAAAATCTACTTACTTTACCTAACTTTAACTTTTTATTTTTAATTTCCTGACTTTTTAATTTTACCTAATTACAATTTTTATTTTTATGTTACGGACATCAGCAACGTATACTCTACCTCAGCATAGTAACATTTTCTACCATAATTACTTTTCATGAGTAAGAAAATTAAGTTCTTATCAAAGATCTAGTCAGTGGAAAATAGTCAGTGGAACTTCTTATATATCAACATCTCCACTAGTAAAATGAGAAGATCAGATTAGGATACATGATATCCCAGCTTCTTTCTAGCTCAGATATTCTCTATTCAGTACTAATAAAAGATAGCAACGGTGTACAAGAGACCAGGCTTACTGGTTAGAAAGCGACCCGTGGTTTAAAAAAAAAAAAAAAAGTAAAAAAAAAATTTTTTTTAAAGCGACTGGTGGGACCCTCAAGACATGCCCCTTAGTCACCCTTCAGGTCTGGAACTGAACTCACCCCCATGGGTCAGTTTCCCAGCCAAAAAGAAAAGCAATCTAATCTCATTGCCACCAAGTCAATTCTGACTCACAGTGACCCTATCAGGCAGGCTAGAGCTGCCCTAGTAGATTTTCTACAGCAGTAGAAAGCTTCTCATTCTTAAAAGGGGCTAGTGGTTTCAAGCTGTTTACCTTATGATTAGTAACCCAACTCATATAAGGTCACACACAATAAAGCTAGTAAGATACTCATCCCCACCCCACCCTCAAAAAAAAACGGCAACTCATTCCTTAGAAGAATCAACCATCTGCAATCAGCAGCAGCATTTGCAAGGGCATGGTTCAAAAGGGTTAAGACAGAAGGAAGGGGTGAGATTAGTGGTGTTATATTAAGGGGACTGAAAATTAATGAGAGGGAATCCAGGACAGATGATCCCTTCAGGACCAGTGGTGAGAGTGGCGATACTGGGAAGGGAAGGGGAAGGTGGGGTAGAAAGTGGGAACCGATAATAAGGATCTACATATAACTCCCTCCCTGGGGGACGGACAACAGAAAAGTAGGTGAAGTGAGACGTCGCACAGTGTAAGACATGACAAAATAATAATTCATAAAACATCAAGGGTTCATGAGGGAGGGGGAAGCAGGGAGAGAGGGGATAAAATGAGGAGCTGATACCAAGTTCTCAAGTAGAAAGCAAATGTTTTAAGAATGACGATGGCAACAAATGTAGAAATGTACTTGACAAAATGGATGTATGTATGGGTTGTGAGGAGAGTTGTATTAGCTCCCAATAAAAATCTTTTTAATGAAGGTAAAAAAAAATAATAAAAGTATTTAAAGAAAAGAAAATGATGGCAACATATGTCAAGTGTGCTTGACACAATGGATATATGTATGCATTGTGATAAGAACTGTAAAACCCTCCAATAAAATATTTTTTTAAAAAGAAAATTAATGAGAACAGGCAAACTGTGTATCAATTATTGAATGCAAATCTGATGATCTACTCTGTAAAGTTTCACCTAATTCATAATAAAAAAAATTTTAAATGAATAAGCCTGGTAGCAAACTTGAAAAGAATGCATGTAACTTGCTTGGTTTGTGAACTCTAAGACTTTATTCCTTATTTTACAAAAAATTCAGGAAAAATCTTCCTTTTTAATTTTTCCATTTCTTGAGAAGAATCTCAGTAAGTATATATAAAGTAGCTTCTTTGTACTATTTCCTGGACACCCAATCTGCTAATAACATGAGAGGTACAGCCTTATTCAAATAACCAGTGTTCGTTTATGCAGAAACATATTGTTAGGACAGACAGCACGATGACTTTCTCACTAGTCAGACCCCACAGGGGACCAAGGACGACGGAGTGCTTAGTATTGATCTAAGCTGTGGGGTTTCATACATTAGCTGCTAATTTTGTTAGGTTATTTAAATCAATTAAAATTCAACAAAAGTAACTACCATACTAGATGGCATAAAGAATGTTTCCATCTACACAAAAAGTTCTCGTGGCCAAGTTCAGAATTTCTGAAGGTCCACTAACAAGAACAGAGAAGAACTGGGAGGAATTGAGGAGGCGCCATGGTTAATAAACTGGCCACTGACAATTCATAAAGCCAAGTATAATTCTCTTAGTAGCAACCAAAATTCTTAGCTTTTGAAAAATAAAGTTCAGATGTCATCTTAGTTCTATCTTCATAATTTCATTGTAATGGTGCATAAAAAGACTACACATTTTTTAAGTAACGGTATTTACTTTTTAGAGGGCTAAATGGTTACAAAGTAAACAACAGTGATAAGAAGTAACATGTTAATAATTAAGGGTTTGAAATACATTGCCAGCAATCTTGTTCTAAAGTACAGAGGTGGTCGACAGTACTGTTTCAGTTCAAACTCAGACATTACCTTTAACTTTATTTTTTAATTCTTCATCCGATTTTTCTGTAGAATTACCAATTGCTTTAAGAATGCCTTTACTCACTCGCTAAAAATAAGAAAAAATGAAGGTGTGTATTATTAACTTTTAAGTTTTATTTTCCTCAGAAAAGATGAAAGCAAGAAAGTGATCAAGATGTAGCCCGACAGGTTTATCAAAATAACAATTAGTAGTTCCAAAGATCACACTTCCAGAAATGACTTAAAGCAATCTCTAACCACTAAACAAATGCACAACCTTAATTTCAAGTTCTTAGCCTATTCAAATGCAACCACTGCGGAACCTGCCCACCATCTACTGAAACAAACACTTAAACATTCATGCTAGCAACAGAGTCGTTCAATGGGAGCTACAGACGCATATTCCTAAACTGAGTCCAGCTTCACCATCACTGAGTACAGTTGGACCAGCTATTAAACCTAGCTGCATCTTCTCAATCAATAAAAGAGAACAGCATCTGCTTCCCAGCATGGTTATGAGTACTGAGCAAGGTAATTTTTATAAAATGCTGAGCATACTACTAGGCATAAAGTGGGATAAATTAAACGTGATTTTCACTGTTACTATTATACTCACCAGCCCTAAATACCATTTTTTGGCAATTAAGTTATAACAACCATTCCCTGACTCTTACAAAATGAAAATACTTCCTAGATTCAAAGCTGCTAAACTATGCTCAGGAGAGTACACTGGAACTGGAGATTATTCAGGGGAAATACTTTCTAATACTTGTAGCTCTCCTGGTAGAAGCTAGTGCAATTGGACCCACAAGGAAGAACGCTGAAATTATTAATGTAATCTAAAGCGCAACAAAAGAGTCATTTCTAACATTGTAAGGCTTAAAACATACTGGTTAAAATGGCCAGTGTAGAAAAAAAATAAAGTTACAAGCCAGTCAGGGTGCAGTATAGCACCAATGGAACATACAACCTCCCTCTAGTTTTTTAATGCTTTCTCACCCCACCCCACCCTACCCCACCCCCACCCCACTATCATGATCCCAATTCTACCTTAAAAATTCCAGCTAGAACTGGACATTCCCTTACAGAAGGGTTTCGGGGAGGAGACAAGCCAGTTAGGGTGCGATGCAGCAACGATGAAAAATACAACTTTCTTCTAGTAAATCTGGTTAGATCAGAGGATGTACACTGGTACAGATAGGAACTGGAAACACAGGGAATCCAGGGCGGGTGATTCCCTTCAGCACCAGTGGTGTGAGTGCTGATACTGGGAGGGTAGAGGTGGGGGTGGGGGGTGGAAAGGGGGTATTGATTACAAAGATCTACATGTGACCTCCTCCCTGGGGGACGGAGAACAGAAAAGTGGATGAAGGGAGACACTGGACAGGGAAAGATATGACAAAATAATAATTTATAAATTATCAAGGGTTCATGAGGGGGGGGGGGCGGAGAGGGAGGGGAAAAAATGAGGACATGATGCCAGGGGTTTATGTCGAGAGCAAATGTTTTGAGAATGACGAAGGCAATTAATGTACAAATGTGCTTTACACAATGGATGTACGTATGGATTGTGTGAGTTTTATGAGCCCCTAATAAAATGATTAAAAATAATAATAATAATTCTGACTATTGGTTTGGCATATAGGCCCTTTATTATGTTAAGAATAATAAACACCCTTTCCCCATTATTTTTGCTTAAATAAAAAAAAAAATCCGGCTAGATCAGAGAATGTATACTGGTACAGATCAGAGCTGAAAATACAGGGAATCCAGAACAGATAAACCCCTCAGGACCAATAATGGGAGTAGCAATACCAGGAAGGTAAGGAGAAGGTAGGGGAGAAAGGGGAACCGATCACAATGATCTACATACTGCCCCCTCCTTGGGGGACAGACAACAGAAAAGTGGGTGAAGGAGACATCAGACAGCGTAAGACATGACAAATTAATAATAATATATAAATTATCAAGGGTTTGTGAGGGCGGGGGAAAAAATTAGCTCAAACCAAGGACTCAAGTAGACAGAAAATGTTTTGAGAACGATGATGACAACAAATGTATAAATGTGGTTGGCACAATGGATGTACGCATGGATTGTGATAAAAGTCGTACGAACCGCCAATAAGATGATTTTTTGGAAAAATGCTAAAAAGTACAATGGCTCAAAGCCAACAAACAAATGGAAAAAAAACCCAAAAACATATTGTTGAGAATGAGGGGGGTTGGAGCAGAGACTCAAAACTCATTTGTAGACAATGGGACATGCCCTCAACAGAAGGGTCACAAAGAAGGGATGAGTCAACCAGAGTACAGTACAGCACCAATGAAGCACACAATATTCCTGTGGTTCTCTTGAGGCTTCCTCACCCCCACTATCATGACTCCAGTGCTGCCTTTCACTGCGGGCTAGACCAGATCAGGTGCACGGGTACAGATAAGAGCTCATTACACATGGAATCCAGGAAGAGGAATGAGAGTAGCAATACCATGATGGTAGGGGGAAGGTGGGGAGAGCAGGAGAGGAAGAAGAAACTAATCCAATGATCAACACATAATCATCACCACCAACCACCTTCCCCAAGAGGTTGAACATCAGAAACAATGGGGGAAGGGAGAAAGTGGTCAGCGTAAGATATGAAAATAAAAATAATTTATCATTTATCAAGGTGTCATGATGGTGAGGGGGTGGGAGGGGGTGGGAGGGGTAAAAAGAGGAGCTGGTACCGAGGGCTCAATAGAAATAAGTGTTTAGAAAGTAATAATGGCAACATATGTACAAATATGCTTCATAAAATTGATATATGGATTGTTATAAGACCTGTAAGAGCCCCCAATAAAATGATCTTTTAATTAAAAAAAACAATTTTTTTTTAAAGTAAAATGGCTCCAATCACTAGCTTTAGGAACTCCAAAACATCAAATCAGAGACAAGTCCATGAAGAAGGACTTCTATAACACAATGGCCATCATTCACATGCTAACCTGGTGTTCTTCGGCTCTCATTCCATCCAATAGGTAGCGAAGCAGCTCCTGACTGTCTTGCTGCTGATAGCCTTTAAACCGCACCGCTCTATGAGAAAGGGAAAAAGAGTGATCATGTACCAAGATATGAAACTCCCTGCCATCAGATCCATTCCAACAGTGACCTGACAGACAAAGCAGAACTGCCCCTGTGGGTTTTCAACACTGTCACTTGTTACAGGAGTAAAAAGCCTCACCTTTCTCCCAAGACTCGATTTACAAAATCTTAATACTCATAGTTCAAATCTCAGTCTCTCTAGGGTCTCAAATTTTCTGTTTAGTCCAATTAAAAGTTGGCAGGTTTAACTATGACTTATAACATGAGTTTATTCCAAGTGACATACAGCACACTTTAATATATATAGCACGTTATACACTGAATTGTTTTGATTTCTCAGCATCTTACTGATGCACTAAAAGCACAATCAAAATGGATACTCACTTTTTACAGACCTGAGAAAAGAGCTCTTTAGGTGTCACAATCCCCTTTTTGGTCTCTTGCATCTCATTAAGAAACTGGCTCATTGCCAAAGTGAGAGGTCCTGGAGGCTCAAGGTTAATTTCTAAGGATTCCTGAATATGGGAATAAAATTACTTCCTTCATTTACTTTATTAAAATGTGATTAGTTAACATATACTGCAATAGTGAACATAGAGCGGCTTCATTAAAAAGTTTTAAATGTACATCACTGACAGTGAAGCTTTCTAACCCGACCAAATGCCCACAGCATTACCCTTAAACCCATTCCAAGTCACAGCGACTCAACAGGACAGAGCAGACCTGCCCTCGAAGGCTTCCAAGGACGTCCTCTCTGCAGACGCAGACGGCCACACCTTTCTCTAGCACAGCTGCGGTGGGGCCAAACCTCCAGCTTCCTGGTTAGCATCTCAGCGCTTAACCACTGAACCACCAGAGATCTTCTACGGCTGCACAGGTTTGTACTTGACGACCACGACATGAAGGTGATTTAAACCCGCCCAGCAGTAACACAAAAGAAATGTCTGGTAATCTGTTTCCATGATTACAGCCCAGAACCCCTGAGCTATAGTTTACTCTGTAACACGTAAGGTTGCCAGAAGTCAAAACTGACTCAGTGGCAGTGGATTTTTCTTAATTGAGACTATCAAGAACTTACATTGGACAGTGTAAGATATGACAAAATAATGATAATTTATAAATTATCAAAGGTTTATGAGGGAGAGGGGAATAAAGAGGGAGGGGAAAAAATGAGGAGCTGATATCAAGGGCACAAGTAGAAAGCAAATGTTTTGAGAATGATGATGGCAAAAAATGTACAAATGTGCTTGACACAATGGATGGATTGTGCTAAGTGCTGTACAAGCCCCCAATAAAATGACTAAATTGAAAAAAAAGTACTGCAATATAAGAACAGAAAAAACTAAGCAAAATATAAATAACATAGTCAAATAGGGTAAAACTCATTTGACTACACAGAAGTCACTTTATTTTTTAAATATTAAAAGTAACCATGTAGGCCTGGGGCTTCACAATCCTAGCCAAACTCAAAGAAGGGAGCCAGAGGCTAGAGCACAGCAGACATGGTACACACATGAAGAAAATTATACGTGAAAGTCCCTTGTCACAGCTCTTCACCTGACGATGTTAACTGGGTATCCCAAAACACAACCAAAGTAAATTTAAAAAGGCAGATTTGGTGTCAGTTTTTCCAATAATTTAGAATGTGGACACTTGGAAGAGGGGGCATGTGACTGATGAAAAAAGAATAACTGGAGTACATACTGTTAACGCCAAGTCAGGTGGCTCAATTTTCACAATAGTTTCAGACATTTTGACTTCTTTCAGGAGTTGTCTAAGCACCGGAGTTTGGGACAAATTCTGGAATGAAAAAAAGGAAGAAAATCACTGAAAAGATAACCAGTTTATCTAAATGCTTCTTATGTGTCTATGCTATGAAAATAGAGCACACTACAATCACTGCTACATCTACCCTGGGGAATGGGAGGTGGTGGCATGCTCTTCTCTTCTCTCCACACTATTGGGCTGTTTCATACCTCAGGTGCCGAGCTGACTCATCACCGAGAAGTGCATTCTCCACCCACTGACTATCTACCCCCAGGCACCACCCACCCCGATTCTCTCACCACCACGTTTAACTTCAGATTTGTTTCCCTTCGAGGTTTTCCTTTGCTTCCTCACCCACGGCCAAGCTCCATAAGGGCAGGGACCATGACTGTTTTGAACCCCACTGAATCCCAGTACAGTACAGTGTTTTACTATCAGCAAAAGGAAACATTTTTCTTTGAAAGCACAGAAATAAATCACTTAAGGAAATAAAACCCTACAATATTTTTAAAATGCTAGAAGATTCTTTAATTTAAAAGGGGGGGGGAATACTGGCACCTGCATAACTGCATTGAAGAAGCACGTATTTCCCAAATTACTGAGTCCTTTCACGGTGATTTGGGAAGCAGAATTCGTGGAAGGATTTTCTTTAGCCATGGTTTCCTTTTTCTCTCTTTCTTGTTCATTTTTACTGTCTTTTTCTAATTTTTTATTTTCAAGTTCAATGTTTCCATTATCTTTGGCTGCTTAAGAAGAAAAGAAAATTTAAGGGAAGAGAGAAAAAAAGATTTAGTAAAATATGAAATAGTTATAACAAATAAATGCAATGTTATTATTGAGATAATGTATGAGAAATTTTGAATGCTACCTATCATTATTACTTGTCACTAGTTTTAAGTGCTGACTAATTAATCGAGGTAAATTACCATACAAAGCAAACCAAAATAATTAAAAATTGCTATAAGAATTGGTTGAACATAAGAGATATATGCGTCCCTAATAAAATGATTTAATAAATAAATAAATAAAAAGACCGGAGAGGGGGGGGAGAATTGGTTGGAAAAATGAAACCAAACAGTATAAGCTCTGGTATAAGCCTTCCCTTTCCAACTACATAAAAATTTCTTTACAAATGAGTGTATGTTACACTGAGAAATTAAAGTAGGAAACAGAGTTTGCAAACATCGGAGATTGTAAACACAAAGTAATTCTTTAAATGAGTCTGCAGTCAAAAACCAATCTAGGAGTGTGAACCAACAATTCTAGTTCTGCCAAAGATCTTTCTGTAACTATTTTACCAACTTTTCTCAGCAACACTCTCAAGCTTAAAGCAAATGAGGTCAACCAACACAATTAATTCAATTATTCTGGAAAAAAGCCTGAGATGTATCAGGTTCCTAGAAGTACTTTACTTTTATATCATTCCAACATACGAATTGAAATCTTGCTCTTAGAAAAGTTAACACATGCAATGAGTGTGGACCTTCATGTCACTATAAGGTCCACACTCATACTGAGACCAAGGCCTGCATTCAGCATAAGGTATATCGGAAGCCCTATCCCAGGGTAGAGACAGGAAATTGCTACCCATTACTTTGGATCAGATTCTTCATCACATCTAATTTTTCTCTCAGATCATTTCCAAATCTAATACCTTACAATTGTATGTATTTCTGTTTTATATCTATAATCAAAAATAGCTTCACATTTTGAAGCCAACTATAAATCATTTTACACAGCTTTATGCTAATGTTGGAGAATTGTCAACACATAGATAAGTCAACATTACACTGTACACTAAGATATAAATGGCTTTACCTGATTTTGGCGTTGCAATATCAACTTGTTTTCTAATATAATCAACCACCTGACCCAATCGATTTGAAGTACAATACTGGACCTCATTATCACACAGGTAACACCTGTTTCCCAAAAAAGCATAGATAAGAAAAATGACACCCAACCAAAAGAGGGACCCAAATTGTAATTCCTGGGCTACAAAATGTATAAAAACCAAAGTAGTGTATTAAAGAAACAACAAATACATTTCTTTATTTAAATTAAAATCATTTGTTTTCTTTAAAAAGACTACGTATATTAACTCTGCTATACTATTACTATAGTTAGCCAGAATTTTGGCTATATTTACTGGGAAAATATGCCAAGCCAACATTTTACTGGAATGGCTATTTATAACACTAAAGTCAAATTTTTTCTAAATATATGTTCAAAAACACACATAGAGTTCAAAATACCAACAAGATTAACAAGTCACATAACTTACAATGAACACTGCTATGAAAATACATGGGTTTAAAAGATGTGAACATTGATTTTAATGATATAACAACACGGAACTACAATATACTAGAGATCAAGATTTATTTTTATATAAATGCACTGCCAAGTTTTTACTTGATTCTCAGCTATCTGAAATTTATTCTCAGTGCCCCCCAATTTTTAAACTAAAAAGGGCCACTGAACACTTCTTGATAGCACTAGAAAGAAAAGGCAAAAGGGGGACGATCCCTGTCCTCTACAGGATACAGTTGTCCATTTTGTCTAATACTATGCAAAAGCTTTACATAGCATTACATTCTCTAGACTTCTGAAAGCAAAGTATTTAAGCAAATAAACCCAAACCTCTAACTTTTTGGTTTGTTAAACATTTTGAAGCATCTCCATTTTCCAATATTTACAGGAATTTCCAGTCCATGTGCGCAACACTTAAAACTCACCATACGCTCCAGTTGTCCAAATTAAGAACGAGGCAGTGGGGTTCAGATCTTGGTGTCATATAGTGCTTCAGGGCATGCTGCTCCTGAGAATTTCGGCCACAGCCCTAAAGAATCATAACCAAAGAGCTCAAAAATCACAAAAATTCATGGAGCAAATAGAATTCATAAACTCTAAAGAACACAGAAGTGGCTATAGCAAGTCTGCCAGTTACACAATTTTGAATATAAAGCATTAACAAAAATTTGGGCTCTTAGCCCTATAGGACCAGTGGTGTGAGTGGCAAAACAGGGAGGGTAAAGGGAGAATGGGTAGGAAAGAGGGAACCGATTACATGGAACTGTGTGTGACCTCCTCCCTGGGGGACAGACAACCGAAAAGTGGATGAAGGGAGAAGTCGGACAGGGCAAGATATGACAAAATACCCATTTATAAACTATCAAGGGCTCATGTGGGAGGGGGGAGCGGGGAGGGAGGGGGGAAATGAGGACCTAATGTTGGGGGTTTAAATGGAGAGAAAATGTTTTGAGAAATGATGTACAAATACGCTTTACACAATTGATGTGTGTATGGATTGGGATAACAGTTGTATGAGCCCCTAATAAAATGTTAAAAAAAAAAAAGGGGCTATAGGGTGCTTATTAGTGGATTTAAATATGTGATTTTTTCAATATTACATTTAAAAATTCAATAAAGATTAATTTGACTACACTGATTCTATTTAAAATTGACATTATACAAATGTGATTGTTATTTCATGTATTAAACATTGATTAAAGGTAAATTGAAGAGAAAAGAAAAAAAAATGTGGGCTCTTATTAAAACTTGAATATCTATATGCAGCTAAAGGTATTTAGGAAACTATGCACTCAAAGTACCCTTTCTCCCCCACGCATCCTGTCCAGTGCTAGTTACACCCCACTAAACCACTCATTAGGTGTCAGGACCACGTAAAGGTCTCTTAACTGTTCTCTTGACTTGAGTCTCCTCCATAAACTTGTATTTCCTTAGCTTCCTAAAACAAAGCTCTATTCATATACCGAGTTCAAAATTACCAATAGCTCTCAATCTACTAATAAACAAACCCAATTACGTCAAGTCCCATATTCTCCTGTTCACAAACCACATGCTATCTAAAAACACACTAAGCACTTTTGCAACCACATTTTCTATTATTCCATCTGTCCTAGAATCATCCACTGTTGCTGCCACATGGCCGAATCCCACCTATTTGTCAGGATTTTGATCAAGAAATAAATTCTCCCAAACGTCCATGCTTATCCTTCCAGAAGAAAATATTTTACCCTTCCTATTAAAAAAACTCTTACAAAACATGTTGTAAATTCCTGTTGTCATTCCTTATTTCCCTCCTTGTATTAAAGAAATCAGTATGTACCTCTTTTCTCCCCTGAACTGTACACACTGAAGGTGCAAAGTATGTTTTATTAACCTTTTATAAAACCAAAAGACCTAGACCATGAGAGATGGTGAATAAGCCTTAACCAAACAAATAAAAGGAAGCTTTCCACCTAAAAGATGTACCAGCTCATTCACAAAAGACCAGGAGCATTTCCTGGTACCAGCTGGTTAGATCACTACTAAAATGTATTTATCTGAACCAGGCCATCAACCTCCTTGGACTACACTACAATAACTCGTCCTGTTCACACTAAAAATAAAAATATGCTTTAAATGGGGGGGAAAATGACTGTTTGCCTTATCTGAAAACCCTGCCTAGCAGCCTAGTTTCCTAACAAATAAAGTTAACTTTCACCCACTAAGGATGACAAAAGGACGTGATATTGGGTAATATATGGAGACTGGTAAAGCAGATGTGCTGCAAGATCCCCCATTAAGGTAGTCATTCCCCTAGCTGACAGGAATGAAGCCTACTGACAGCTCAGAGTCCAATCAATTCTCAGAAGCTGTCTGCACCCAAAAGGGCACCCCATTGCAATGGATAGTCAAAGAGTAGGTACAAAGGTCTGGTCTCTTCCCTTAATTCAGGGCATCTTTGAAGGGCTACAGTTCCCTGTGGGATTGGCTGAGGCCCTATAACAATTGCTTCTTAGCTCATCTTCTCCCACTGCCTAATCCAGCCTCCCTTACTCTTTACCTGGTGTGGCACCTGAGAATGTCCCACAATAAACCAATTATACACAAATTTTCATTTCAAAAATCTTTCCCCCTGAGAACATGACCTATGCTAGCTGGCATCCAAATCATCCACGCTGTACTTTTAAGTATCACCTGTAAAATATGCTAAAAACAAAATCATCCATACTTTACTTTTAAGTAACGCCTATAAAGCATGCTAAAAACAAACTCACTGTCATTGAGTTCATTTCAACCCATGTGTTAAAGACTAGAACCACTTCATAGGCTTTCCCTTGCTGTGGTCAAACACAACCATTTGCATCACCCAGAAACTAAAATAAGTTAAAAGCGTTTCTAGAGTCCCATTATTAACCAAAATTTAAATATACCTGATGGCCACATTTAAGACAGAGCCAAACTGAAGAGTTCTCTTCTGTCTCCTCGTCAGATTTATCTTTTATTTTATTGTCTGTCTTACAATCTTGACAGATATTCCATTCCACGCTCACCAAAGCCTTCTTCAAATTACCTTGTTCCAATCCTTTTCTAATGTGTCTGCACACAGGTTCTATTCAAACAAGTAACAGAGAAATGCACGAGATCAAAAATGGTTTTCTTCAGTTAATCTCAAAACTTACCTTTCAAACTTCAAAAATAAATTTACTCAATAAATAGTTCATCTGAAATTTTAATTTTGTTTGATATCTAATGAGATGATTACAATTTGAAAAAATTTCATGTATATCTGAAATTTTACTTTTATAATAACCCAAGTATGGCCTTCCATAAAAATAACTTCAATTTATTTGGCTATTTCCCTTAAATTAATCTTAGAAGTTTTATAGAGGAAGTCTTTCATTCAGTCAACAGTATGCCTACTGAAGGATGGGCACTGTGCTAGATGCCAGGGAAGCTAAAGGTGACCAAGTCACAGCTTACTCTGACAGGAGAGACAAATAAATACATGTGCAAAACTCTTCAAAACATCCTACAGCAGCACAAGAAAAGGCTAATGTTGTCAAAGGCTTCATGGCGCGGGGGCAAAACCGGGCAGTTTTGAAAGATATTGACAATGCTAAAAATTGCTAATGTTACAGGCTTACTGAGAGCCTGGCACTGTACCTATGATAGCATACATCATCTCATTTAATCTTCACAACCACTCTATATGAAAGATATTATTATCTTCAAGGAGAAGTGAGAAAACTAGGATTACACCTAACATTAACAACTCCATGGCTGTGGCAGAATGTGGAGTCACATCTTTCTGCCTCCAAGGCTCACACCGCATGACCTCAGGGGGTGAAGGACGTCCTGAAATATCAATACCCCATGAACAAGAGCATGGGAGGAATAAGAGCATACCTTGTCTCCCCAAAAGGACCAGTAATCAGACGTGACAAATATCACACGATGCTATGAAAAATGAGCCTCTGAGTCTGAGGCTGGAAACCTGGTTGGGGCAAGATTAAATGAAGGATTTTGTATATTATTCTAAAAGAGTGGTTCTCAACCTTCCTAATGCCACAACCCTGTAATACAGTTCCTCATGTTGTGGTGACCCCCAACCATAAAATTATTTTCGTTGCTACTTCCTAACTGTAGTTTTGCTACTGTTAGGAAGCATAATGTAAATATCTGATATGCAGGATGTATTTTCATTGTTACAAATTGAACATAATTAAAGCATAGTGATCAATCACAAAAATAATATGTAATTATATATTGTGAAATATATATATGGGTGTATCTGCATGTGAGCGGACCCGCCTGGAGATGGATAGAGGCGCGGTTTCTCAGTTCCTAAGATCATCGGAAATATGTGTTTTCCAATGGGCCTAGGTGACCCCTATGAAAGGGTCGTTCAACACCTCCCCGCCCACAGGGGTGGCGACCCGCAGGTTGAGAACTGCTGCTCTAAAGAGTTGTATCAAAGGTTCTAGAGGATTAGAAAGTAGTCTAGAGGCACAAATAACTGTCTTCTAATAACCTTGCAATTCAACAAAAGAAATATAAATGCAAATAAAATCATGTGAAAGCTACTGTTGCTTTTTGTTAGCATCTATCGAGACATCTTGACTCAGACTCAAAGAGTGGCCCCGCACAAAACTGATTGGATCATTCTCAGCCACTAGTCTTCACCAGTTAATTTTCAGAAATAGGATGCCAGGCCTTCCTTCCTCATCTGTCTTCATCCAGAAACTCTGCTGGAACCTGGTTATCATAATAGCAAGATACATGGTTCCACTGGCAGATAGGTGGCAGCTAGCCCTTTACACTAGTGAAACACCTCTACTGAGTAATTTGGCAATAATATAAAAAAAGCTTTGAAAATATTTATACTCTGTCATCTAGAAATTATATTTCTCCAATTTGTACTAAGGAAATAAGTGATCATAAATTCAGCTACATAGACTTTTTTGTTGTTCCATTCATATACCTAAACAATTAAAGACTATCTAAACTTATAGCAGTAAGGGATTAGCTACATAAACTATGACGGATGTATAATGGCCCTTTACATCAACAGAATACTATGCCAATAAAAACATTATATCAGACTATTAAATGTCATGTAGCTATATATATTAAGTTAAAATGCAAATTACATCATATTGATACACACCTTAATGTTTTTTCCTGTATAAATATTAAAATTTAACTAGTGAACTATACCTAAAGATTCAGATGAATCATCAATTGAAAGAGTTTTTCCCTTTGTTCGTTTTTTTCCCATGTTGGCAGTTTATAGATGACGTAACGACACAAAGTACTAATCTAGAAAACAAGATAAAGTTAGTTTGACCAAAATAAAAGGTGTCATATTTCTTTAGAAGACAATAATATAGGGAACCAATTACAAGGATCTACATATAACCTCCTCCCGGGGGCGGCGGGGGTGGGGGTGGGGGGGTAGACAACAGAAAAGTGGGTGAAGGGAGACATTGGACAGTGTAAGATATGACAAAATAATAATAATTTATAAATTATCAAGTGTTCATGAGGGAGGTGGGAGCGGGGAGGGAGGGGGAAGAATAAGGGGGAAAATGCTTTCAAGTAGAAAGCAACTGTTTCGAGAATGATGGCAACAAATGTACAAATGTGCTTGACACAATGTATGTATGTATGGATTGTGATGAGTTGTACGAGCCCCCACTAAAACGATTTTTTTTAAAAAGACAGGAATACAACTAAACCACATATAAAATAGTCTTTTGTTTGCAGCACACTTTATATAAGTTACAAAGATCACTCATACAAGTACATAATTTAATTTTCAATAAAAAAGACTGTATAGTAGGCAGAATTGTGTTTTTCATAGCCTGGGAAACTGATAATGAGGTTGAGATGTTTAATAATTAAAGTGAGTGAAAGCATAAGTCTGCTTACACAGACCTTGAAAAGTCACATCATGTTACACTATTAGCAATCTAACTCTAAACTAACCCAAACTAATTCTTCATTTTCCTTTAAATCTACTTTCCTTAACTCTGCAGTTTATGCAAATGAGAATTTGTCAAAGAAAAAAATGTTAATTGTCCTGAGGAGTTAGAAAATTAACCAGTTTTAAAGTCAAGCAGAAGTGATTTTCCAGACCAGATTTCCTATGGCTATCAGCAGAGAATAAATTATAACTATATTCTCACTCTTTCTATTTTTATATCATTGCTAAAATCAATTTGGTTATAACTCTAAGATGAACTTCAAATATTCACCTCTTTAATCAACAATTCAAAATTAGAAGATGTAGCCAGTGCTAAAATGACACAAAAGAAATCTACCTAGCTTTATATAATAGTGGGAAGTTTGAAAAATTATATTTATCATTTTTATTTTTTAAAATGGTGTCAAAATCATTTAAAATTATTAACTCCCTCACAGTTCATTTACCTGGTGTGCTTACTAGAATTCTGATTCCTTCTATAAGAAGTGTAGGCTGGAACACATGATGTGAAACACGCCCAAGTAATCATGCAATGCAGCTGTCACCATTACTCTGGTTTAGAGTCTTCGATGTATTTTTTTCAGCTCTTGATAGATTAGTGTAATTAAAAGTAGGATAATACAAAAAGATTTGCCCCCCCTCCCAAGGGGATCTGAATAGCCAGTAGAAGACATGAAAAAAAAAATTTACATCGGCCAGTAGAAGACATGAAAAAAAATTTTTACAAATTATCAAGGATTCATAAGGGAGGGAGGGAAAATGAGAAACTGATACCAAGGGCTCAAGTAGAAAAAAATGTTTTGAAAATGAGGATGGCAACAAATGTACAAATGTGCTTGACCCAATGGATGGATATATGGATTGTGTTAAGAGTTGTGCAAGCCCCCGATAAAATGATTTAAAAAAATAAAAATAAATAGATTTGTATAAAAAAATAAGTGTCACATAAAGTAAATGACAGTAAAACCTTTCCAAGGATACAAAACAATGTTTATAAAATAAATGATAAGAGTAACAAAAGAATACAAAAAGCATATCATATTATAACTATAATTATAATATAAGCATATTATATTAAGATAAATTTCATATACTATTCCTCATCATAAACATGGCATTTCCTATAATTTGTCTATCTAAGAGAAATGACAGGTTTTTATCTCCCCGTTCCATCCCCTCATAATATTAAAATACTATCCAATTTCTTGCCTCTGATCTAACTCCCCCCTAATCTACGCTGCACTCCAGGATCCGATTCACCTCTCAGCATCATTTTCATCACATCACTCTCTTGACTGCAATCACTTAACAGTTTCCCAGTCCAAACTCCCAACATTTGGTCCCAACATTCTGGTAATCCTGAATCTCATGACTGCTCAACAAAGAACCATTACGTTTTTCGTTTCCATTTTTGTGTGCTTAAAAAAAAAAAGTTTTGTGTGTGGTATAAACACTCATGGAGGTAACAAAACATTTTCCATTTCAATATGAGACCCACTGGCTTCAGTCAACTCTGACTCATAGCAACTATAGATCTGAGTAGAACTGCTCCCTGTGGTGTTTGAGGCTGTAAATCTTTAAAAGAGCAGACAGCATCATCTTTCCCCTGAAGAGTGGCTGGGCACAGCCTAGGGATTTGACCCACTACCCCAACAGGACGCTTTATACGAACATTTTAATTATAAAATGGTTTGGGGCTTCAAAGGGAGCCCAGGATGCATACAAATTGAGGTGCTAATCACAAGGTCAGCTCTTTGAACTCACAGTTGCTCCAAAGGGGAAAGGTGAGGCTGTCTGCTCCTGTAACGATTTAAAGTCTCAGAAACCCCAAGAGACAGTTCTTCTACTCTGTCAGAATAGAGCCTCAAGAAATACTGTCTAAATTGAAGTAGAATAAGACAATAATCATGGTGCTATAAAAGGTGGTTATAAGCTGCAAAGATGGGTACATAAGAATGAAGCAAACTAAGGGGGGGGGGGAAGAATGCAGAGTGACGAGATTAGCCTTAGGAAATCTGGCTTGAGGACGGCAGGAGGCAAGACTCCATCGAAAAAACGCGACAGTGGAATTGTAACAGCGGGGGGAGGCGGGGTGTCACTTCAGTGATGTAGAAAGAGCTGCAGCAAAATACTGACACTAGACAAAGGCATGTCTAATTAGTCTGCGAAGAGAGAATGGTGAATGCTATCAAAAAACGTATTTTAATTTCCAGGTGTGTCTTCAGAAACTAAGCTAGCCTTGCCGGTTCTCCTATCCATCCCTTTCCCTCCCTCTTTCTGCCCTCTCAGTTCTCTCCTGTGTGCTCGGAACCATGAAAAAACATGCGGCAGGGGGTCCCCAGGGCTCATACGTGGCTTTGCATTCCATGTTTGGATAGTTCGGTCCTCCCCAAAGCAGCAGCGTCGGGTTGAGGACAGACCCTGATTTTTCCTATTAAAGACCACGAGAGTACAGATGCAAGTTCATACCCAAACCTTTGGGTGTCCCCAGTCGCGTCACCCACAAACCTTTGGGTGTCCCCAGTCGCGTGACACTCGCCACACCTCCCTTTCCTTTCCAACTGCTCTGCACCCCCGGGAGAACCTCGGGTGCATGAGGTCAAGAGGACTGCCAGCCCCGCTGCCTAATGGGCCCAATCCTGGAAGTGACAGGGTAGACAACCTATTAGAACGCAGGGCCGGACAGGAGCCAGGTAATCAGAAGAAGGCAGACAGGGCGTTGGAAAGAGAACGAGGTCGCAACCGAACATTCGGGGTCGTCCGAGGGCTCGCAGTCACGTAAAATGTGGCCAGGACTTACCCACGACGACGGCGCCCATCGCTGTCGCCCCTAATGAGCTAGGCAGGCATCTCCGTCTTCCTCCCGGTGACGAGTGAGGAGCGACAGAGCCCGAAGGCAGAGCGACCTGAGACAGCAGCAACTTCCGGAACGTGGCATGATGGGAAGGGACTTCGACCCACCGCGTCGTCCGCTCCAGCGGCGCCTGGGAGCGCTCCACGCCGGAAGTGCCCGTGCGTCCCTGGCCCGGAATCTCCCCTGTGGGTTTTAACCAGGGGTCCTCAAACTTTTTAAACAGGGGGCTAGTTCATTGTCCCTCAGACCGTTGGAGGGCCGGACTATAGTTTTAAAAAAATTATGAACAAATTCCTCTGCTAAGGTGACCAGATTTTAACATTGGTAAATTGGTAAAGTGGAACACCATT